CCAGACTCCGCGCACACAAAAAATCCTCGAAGCTCTAGCCGACAACCCGCATCAGCAGCGCCTCCACCTTATTGAACTGTATCCTTCGCCGAAACTGGTAGGTGACGATGAGCGATCATGTAAACGTAAATTACGATTGGTTGATTTGATCTAAGTGCACTGTGACATCAGTCGCTATATATGCGCCATTTCCTCTACACAACAGGCGGAACAGCCAAATTGGAGGGAATCCTGCCCGCAGAGCCACCAGCCACATTCTTGGCAGGGACGTTCATCTGTGATCCCTTGGCGGCCATCTTGTACGCTTGGACATCGGCGTCCGCCTTACTGGTGGGTTGTTAGTGTTGTCAAATTTGGAGGGTGGATAAGCCAGGGCTCTCTTACGGGTTAATGATCATGACCATGCCAAGTTGGCAGTGCATGCCTTGAGCGCAGTACATCAGCATGGGCTCAGTGTTCTCGACCTGCACGTTGAAAGTGCCGACTGGAGAGCCGTCTGTGACTCCCGGAATAAAACCAGAATGAACGCCATTTGGCATCATATCCTGGAGAGGGTTACACGGGGCCTGGGTGTTCGCGGCCTGAGTGACGGTATGGTTGTTGGGCCAGAACTGGAACTGAACAATGTCGCCAGGGTTTGCCTTTACGACCTCAGGATAGAAAAGTAGAGACTTCTCACGAGTCGGGCTCCCGACGACAACGGGGATGACCTTGGGCGTTGGGGGAGCGGGGCCTGGTGCAGGTGGTGCCTGACGCTCTATCGAAGATGTGAGCCACAAGCTACGAAAGTAGAGTTTTGTGTTGTAAGTGAGAAATACTTACCACTGAGAGCGGCAGCTAAGGAGCCTCCTACAAAGGCAGAGAGATAGACGGCGACGATGCTGAACTTCATCTTGAATACTTTGACACTCGATGATCCTGTACGGATTACTGGCTGGCAAGGCTAAGACGAGGAGACGCTGCTTCGATATGATGACACTGAAAATACTACAAAGGACAATGTCCTGCAGGAGAGGGGCAGAGGACTCTATGATATTTAAGCTAACTATCACAGCATGCAGGATCTCAAACTATCAGCACCTTCGGGACATGCACGGCGACACCACTCACCCGCTAATACGAACCTTTTCTCTCTTAACCTTCCGCACTGGGCAAGCTTCTCCCGATCATGAGACCGAGTAGACTTAAAATCGCACAGTTGGAGTAATCGAGTTGCCGTGATCAGCAGGGGTAGCAGCGAAGCTTGGGCATCTCAAAAGATGAGATGACCCGAGTTGTCCAATGAGAGGTGTCGGATCCCTCAAACGTGGCATGTTTCGTTTCTTCGGCCGCACTGCATACCGAAGCATGCTTAGAAATTGGCACCAAGGAATCAAGGGGGATTAAACATTAATCAGAAGAGGGGGGATATCATCTCGCGCTTCTTGGCCAGGAGGGGAGAGGCCGGTCAATCAAGAAGCTGTCTCCTCGTGTCAGGTCCTTTCGGCGTTGGGACGACAGTGACCAACAAGGGAACGAAGTTGCGGGCAACGCGGGCAACATCCAAGCTTGCCATTGAGCCGGCAGTCGGCTGGCTGAGTATTAAGCCTGGAGTTCTTTCACGATTACCAAGCTAAAGCTCGCAAACGGATGAAACGGTTGCGGCGTCGTTTCGAGAGATTGAAAGAGGCGTGGGCCCCCGGCTGGCCCCTTCGGTCCCCCCTTGACCGTGGGGGATCTCCGAGCGTTGAAGCTGGCACTGGCGGGAGATCGGCACAAACAATTAATAGTTTGCACATATCGCTAGGGTGTTTGCGGCTCTGAAATTTGTGCTTCGTCGCGCGCGGGAGACGAATTGAGTATTGACTCTTAACGTCAGGAGAGCTTTTACGCTGAAATCATCGGGAGATCGACGTCAACGGGAACGTGCGCATGGTATGATTGTGACACCTACGATTTTATTGCCCTGTTTGAGAACAGACCTCGCCTACCCTTAACTGTCTATAGAAAGTGCTTCGCCATTATTCCCAATTCCAAGCCGCACTATTGCACAGTGATACATGCTTAAGTCGTTAACTACCGGAAGTTCCGGGATCTATAGTAGCTCTACTTCTCCGCGTCTCCGTCTCTTTTCGTCTGACCCAGAGTCTGGCCGCCTTTCGTCTTGTCCTTCTTAACGCTTTTCCACTCGATGAAGACACACCCAAAAACTGTCAAACACCCGAGAACAGTGGCAATCAGGAAGACGTTTTGGAGAGCCTTGTTGTAAGCTCCGATAATGCCGTCGACTGAATCCGGGTAGATGCTCCGCATCGACTCCACTAGTCCGGAACCGCCCGCGTCAATGACGACTGCCGGGTTTACGTTGGGGACGTTTTGGCTCAACTCGGAGATTAGTCTCGAATGGAAGATGTTTTGAGCGACAGCCAAAAACACGGTGCCACCGAGACTTTGCAGGAAAATCAAGAGAGACGTGGCTAGGGCTACGTCACGACCTTGGAACACGGTCTGAACTGCTATCAACGTCTGCTGCCCGCCCAGACCCACGCCCACTCCTAAAAGAACAAGTGAGGCAATCCTACCGCGGTTGTTAGCATCTGAATTGCGTTGAAAATTCGGGGCAAGTTAAAATAATACCAGAAGCCTGAACTCGTGTTTTCGTCAAACGAGTAGATCAGCCCCGTTCCGATAGAGGCGATAACAGATGAAGCGATGAGTTGCGGGACGTAGTATCCGATGTGACTTGTCTGACAATTGATCAGTATCACGGTGTAGCGACCCAAGGATGGACAGTACATGTATTATCAACTTACCAAGAATCCAGAAAGTATTGTAGCCACTGACAAGGAAACCGATGATGCCAATAAGTCAATGCCACTCTGATAGGCAGAGTGATTCTTGACTGCTTGCAACCAGATAGGGATGTAGTACACTTCGATGAAGAGAAGTGAGAACAGAAGAAGCATAAGCCAGCAAGCACAGGCCATAGACCTCTGGAAAAGGATGCGAAATGGGACGGTGGCTTTGTCGCCCTCGCGGAACTGGACTAGTGCCCATAAAAGGAAGCAGACCGCAAAGAGGCACCAGCACAGGATTATGCGCCAATTACTCCAGGGATATTCAGTTCCGCCCCACTGCAAGGCGAGGAGGAGACAGATAATCCAAGGTATGAGGAGCAGTGTCCCTACCAAGTCAAAGTTTGAAATAAACTCCCGCACGCTTTGTGTCTGCTTCTTAGGCGGCGTCGGTAGCTTCAGGAGGAAGAGAACCACCAGGAAGGTCACACCGCCAAGAGGAAGGTTGATCCAGAAGCACCATCCTGATGTGCGTCAGTGTCCTGCTACATCACATGATGAGGGGGTAATAGAAGTCCTACTCCAAGTAGCCTTATCAACAAAGACGCCGCCAAGAGTCGGCGCTATGCACTGCGAGATTCCGCCCGCCGCGCCAACTGCTGCGGTGAACTGCGGGCGTCTATGAAGAGGCACACTTCTAGCCAAAATCTGAGTCGCGATTGGATTAGCCAATAAGGTTCCGTAGAAATCGAGAAACGCCAAGCCTTATTGGAAAGACTTACAATGAGAGCGCCGGACATGAGTCCAGCGGCACCGACTCCGGAGATGGCTCGGCCGACAATAAGAACCACGGAGCTCGGAGCCACGGCGCAGACAATGGAACCCACCTCAAAGATGAAGAGAGCAACAAGGAAGACCCATTTGGCGTTGAACTCGGCGTACAATTTGCCGAAAAAGAGCTGGAACGAACACATGGTGAAGAGGTACGCGGAGCCATACCACGCCACATCCGGTAAAGACTCAAACTCGGATGTGATTACCGGGATCGCAGTTCCCAAGATTGAGCGATCCTAGATGAGGATGGGTGCTGTCAGCCATGTGTGTGCTGCATCGACAGGGAGTTACAATGCCCCAGAAAGCAATTGACACTTACAAGTCCAAAGCACAAAACCGCAAGGAATAGGCCAATTGTGATGATGGCCAGGCTCGCACCAGTGGGATACTCTTCTGCGGTGGCATCTTGGGCTGGAGAGGTCTTCTCTAGTCCTGCATCGCTGAACTTCTCTCCACTCGTTCGTGGTATTGAGAGTGAGGTTGTCGTTCTAGGGACACTGTTAGGTCATCAAGCCCGGAACGTGTCTCCGTAGCCCCCATAGTAGCTGCAGTGTGAACCCACCTTGGTTCGACAGGCATCTTCGCTGATGGTACCAATGAAATTGGTCAAATAAAGTTGCAAAGCGTGGTGTGGTTGCTTGTGCGAATGCCAAATGTTCAATTTCTCTGCCCAGCGACTATTTTCTTAAATACAATCATTCTTCATGACTATTATGAGACTCATCGACTTTGAATCTTTCACCTTCTACACATGCAGATCCCACATCATGTTACCGGTCCGTACGGAGAATAACACGGGAGACATGTCAAAGTCAGCATGCCAAGCCGGGTTTAGCGCCAGTAGCCACACACAAATGTCAAGATCCCTCAGCCTTAATCATGTTTAGTATTACGTGTCAAAATCACAACAAAGTCCCTAAAGCTCTGCAGATGAAGACTGAGTCCGACACACGCAACAGTGTCAGGATCACTGGTGCTTACAGTGGATACTCGGACGCAGGAAAAAGATCTTTGGATGTTGGCGGCCGCCGTTTACAAAGGAGCTTGGGCCCAGGGCAGCAGTTTTGGTGTGAAAAGTCGGATGTCGGGGCTGAAAATGACCTCCGACGCCGTCCTCCACAACGGTGATGAAGCCAATCAAGTAGCCCCCTTACATTCCGATAATCCATCTACGGATCTTAAGAATGCACCGGCCCCCGGACTCTTGCATGCCGTCCGTTCCATCACCCTCGAGCTCCCTCGCCCCAACATTGCCATCTAATTCGCGCCTAACTAAAGTGCCCTTACTTTCATTCACATTTTCTGTCTCCATTTTCTGAGACGCGAATGCTCCGTAAATATCTCTAAGCTCGGGTTGTTGTTGGGAAACATTACAAACGATGTCGCCAAACGATGACGCCAGCAGCCCCGACTTTGCGCATAGTCACACAAAGAAGTCCCGAGCTTGCACCAATTGCGCTCGCCTCAAGATACGGTGTCGGTGGCAACCGGGTTCGGAACATAGCGAACACGCCGATTGCATACGGTGAGCAGTTCTGCCTCTGTTGGCTACAGTTGTGTGTATCAACCAGAGCCCGCTGACATCGCTGGTATGCCAAGCTGCTCCCGCATGAGCATACGATGTCAAGTACCGGAGCCGGTCCCGAGGAAGAAACGGGGAAAGTCAAGGTCAGTCCAAAGACCCGATGAATTCACACGGAATGTGTTTTGTTGCATCCTGCTTTTCAAGCTAGCTGCAGATCACCCGGTCCTCCTTCTCACTTCTCCTTACTGGGGTCTTTGAGCAGAACATGAAGCTAAATGCCTACTCCGTAGTCGTGTAACTGAGCTGGAGAAGAAGATAGATGGCCTAGTCAGCCTTTTTCAGACACAGCAGCAGTCAGGAGAGACACAAGGGCAGCCGGCAACCGGGCCCAGCCCCAGCAGCGAGGACCCGCGCTTGATGCCATGCACTGGGTTGACTATACCAGGCGTCACCCATCAAGTAAGCACAGACGCATCTCCAAGTGTTAACAGTTCAGCCGGCACCCAAGATTGTCATTCTATGCCGACTCCAGAGGCTGGGTTTCCCAGCGGTTCCTATCAGCTCTTGCCGGGGTTCACCATCGCTGCCGAGAAGGCTGAGGAGTACCTTTCCATCTACCGGACGCGTATGGTTCCCAACTTCCCATTTGTGCCCATCGAGCCCGAAGTTACAGCAAGGGATCTCCACAACCAGAAGCGATTTTTGTTCTGGTGTATTATGCAAGCCATTGTACCCCAGACAGCCACAGTACAAAAGTCAGTCGACGACTGGGTCCGCAAGCATGCAGCTATGCACATCATAGTTCATAAGGAGAAGAAGATTGAGCTGCTCCAAGGTTTGATTGTCTATGTCGCCTGGTAAGTGGTAGTAATGAGTCGTTTCTCGATGCATTGGTTCCGGGCCCGTGCTGTTGTCGAAGCGTGATTATCTGATAATTTTGTATCTTACAGGGGCGATGTCCACCTACAGATGGGTATCAACGCAAACACCCTCCTCCAGCTAGCCATCGGTCTGGTTATGGACATGACCATGTACACTCTAGCAGGCCCCGTGAGTTGGATGCCGAAAACCTTATTGAATGATGCGTGGGCAGTCTTGGGACGGGGCGGAAAACAATTCGAGGCACCAAAACCAACTCTTGAAGAGCAAAGAGCAATTCTAGGCGGCTATTTCATTGCGTCAAGGTGTGTTACCTTTCGCCCGCTTTTGTATAGTGAAGCGTGGAACGAAACTGATCATCTTTGCCAGTGTGCCCGCCGCCATAAGGAGGCACTCGCAGATACAGTATACGCCCCAGATCGCACGATGTTCCAAAGCCATTCGCGAGGCGGACGCTATACCGACAGATCAGAATCTACTTGCCCTCGTTCGCATGCAACATCTAGGGGACCGCATTCGCGCTGTCTTTCCAAGCCCAGATAGAGAGGAAGGGGAGCCTCTACCCATCTTTCGGGAACACTTTAGTGCGGTGCTAGCATCACTTCGCAAAGAGATCTGCTCTCTCGAGTCTGAAGAACCCGCCATCAAGAAGGAGAACCGTAAGTGAACTTCTCGACAACAAGGAAACGAGCCCACAGTCAATTATACTAACCGTACACGTCGTATAGCAATGGTTTGGGCACACTACGGCGCACTGATGGTTAGACTATACGAACCATGCATCGGCATGCGAGGAGCCAGCCCTTCGGAGGCTATGTCCGCCATGGAGCAGTTCAGTAGGACCGAGTCACTCTGGTTCTGCCTCCAGGCGATCCAGATCGCCATGGACGCGCTACTCGCCATCCCGGCTGAAGCATTTGCATATCTACCCTTCAACACCGTTGCAGATGTAGCACATACAATGATGTCTTCGCACCGACTGCTGTTGGAAGACTCGGCAAGTGATTGGGACGTGATGCTGGCGCGCCAGAAGCTTGACCTTCCCGATATAGCGCGGCGGTTGGCGGATCGGTTCGAGGAGGCGGACAACGTGGCGCTGATCGTCGGGCAAAAGAGGCGGATCTTCGAGGACGAGAGCTCGCGCTGGGCGAATTATGCGTACCGGGCGAGGTGGATCCGTCAGTGGTACCTGAACAAGGTTGTTGGGCAGCCGCCTCAGGAGCAGATGGCGACGGAGCACCAGCAGCAGCAGGAGCAGCAACAGCAGCAGCAGCAAGCGCAAATGGTTCCTCACGTGGGGATGATGACAGACCCGAACATGTCTTGGCTCGGGGGAGTGGCGATGGACCAGTCGTTTTGGGAGATTATGATGCTGGACGGGCCTGGACAAATCCCCATTGACGCGTCCATGCTTTTGCCGGACCAGGCCATGTTGCCCGCCATGCAGACTTAGCATCGCACCTATTGATCGGCTAAGGGCTTTCACTTTCACGATTTTTGCCCGTCTGAATCTTTCGATGATTACCCTCGTGTGGTGGCTTGGCTTTGGCAAGAGATAGGAAAGATTCCGGCACAGGAAGGTGGCAGTTTTGCAAGGGTATGGCGGGTCTGAAGACACTCTGAACTCAAGCCCAAACAGGATTTGATGCATTTGGTAGTTTAAGGCGCGTGTCTCTGCTTTGTGAGCTGGTTCCACTCTCGAAACGAGCGGGAGTTATATCAGTTTGTCGTTGTTTCTGAGGAGTGCTCGAAATAATCTAGAAGAAGAATTGGGTACAGCTTACGACAACGTTTCTAAATGAGGATAGCATCCGTGGAGTCGGGAAATACATACGTCGTCTCAAGTTTTGCCTTGATCTCGACATGACTCAAGCTGTGCTAAGATTGCAAGCCGTATACGGTCTTAGTGAGAATGCCTATGCGATAGTATGTCATCTCCTATTCATGGGGTTTATCGAGGGCGAGTTGGGAATCTTGCTGACAGAACCTAGCATTCAATAGTATGAGAGACACGTACATCTACCTTACTTGAGAATAGTTGTACAGAAACGTTCTGATTGTACGTTGTGAACAGCCAGAGCCCTCAACGACAAAATCGCGCACCTTGCTTCGCCAGAGTGGTGATGGCTGTTCAACACCAACAACAGCAACAGTTGGTGAAGTAGTATTCACCCCGGTTCACGTTCGGCAGGGTGGGCAAGGTTTGTTACTAGTCGTCTTGGAAGATTTCCACTTTATTGAATGCAGTCCAGCCGGTTCCCGCATTCATGCCGTTCTCTCTGCGCATTCCCGATTTTAGTCAAAATTCCTACGCGATAGCAGGGAGATCTGTACCCGAAATCTCTTTGCTGATAGGTGGAAGAGAGACGAGGGCGAGAAAGGTTTACTGGGCTCGCATGTTCCCTTGCTGCAGTTGAAGGGACAAGATCTACGGTAAGTCCGCTGCCTTGCTAAATATCCCTCTCATCACTTGCAGCTGCCAACTAAAGGGCCATGGACACGTCTTCTCGGCAGCTAAATCAGTGCTACATCCCGTCGGCCAGGTCTGTGGAGATGTGATTTTCCTAGATGCGGATCATCGTACCCGCCAAGTCTCTCGGCGGTTAATAATGCGGTCCACATTACAAGTTAAAAGTCGCTGGTGATTGGCTTACTTCGCGAGGTGAAGTGTATGAGCAACTCTGACTAGCCACCTGATAGCGGTCCGCCGTCTCTACACGCCAGTTTTCATCTCCGGAACGGTGGGGGGGGGGGGGGGGGGGGGGGTTTCCGTTCCCGGTGGGGGGCCATAGACAAAAGAGGGGCCAAGGGAAATTGGAAAAGGGGGGGCCCCGGGGGGGGGGGGGGGGGGGGGGGGGGGGGGGGGGGGGGGGGGGGGGGGGGAGGCGTGATTCCGTTCTCAGTCGTGGGGCCATAGACCAAGAAGCGGCCAAGGAATCTGAGATACAGAGTGCACACCCGTGTGGTAGTGAGCGTGGGGTTCGAGGCTGTGATCCTGGCGTGGCCGGGGTCCCGGTCTTCGGCACGCTGGCGTCAAGAATGGACGCTCATGAATCTTGAGCTAATGGAATTTACAGCTGCTAGTCTCTTGATTTGAAGAAGTGGTCTTGTTAAGCTAGCTAAACTTTCGTTTTATTCTTGTATGTACTTGCGGATATGGATCACGGGTGAAAAGCCAAACCCCGCAAAGTCTGTCCGGAGAATCCGGGGTAGCTAATTGAACTCTGGTGAGCCATACTATTTATACGATAGACCCTATCACACCCGGGTGATTGGGGATTCTGAGGGACCGAGGAATGAACTCAAAACGGTATGCAAATTGCTCAATAATTTGGAGACTTGCCTCTTGTTATTTGCTCGACTCAATCGCCACATGTGAAAAATTGAATGATGCATCAGCATCAACCTGCCCCTAATGCTCACAGCCATATGTGTACCCTGAATCGGGCCGCAAAACAGTCAAACCTTCTCGATCTGAAACCAATGTTACCGCTAAACCAGCGTGATCTACATTAAGAGACTGATGTGGTCTTTACCATGGAAAGGGAGAGCGCCAACTTCCTCAGCTTTGATTTCGGCACCCCACCCTGCCCGTTCAACCAGCGGGGCCGGTTCTAGTTAACTAGTGCAACGTCATGTATATTTCTTGTGCTCTGATTGGTCTTCACTAGGGCCAAAGGCCGGTCTGGGAATAGTTCGCTTGGCTCATTCGCAAGTATCTGGCTCACTGCTCCTTGAGCTTGACTAGGGCATGGAGTGTGGTGTGTTAGAGAACTGCTGTTTTGAGTGTAGACATATCGGTGCTGGGAAAGCTTGCATCAACACCGACACAGCACGACAGATCTAGAATAGCGAACAATCCATTATCATAACGATATTAAAGGGATATTCTCTGAACTTTGGTCTATGTGAGGTGGTTTCTAAACTTTATTCCGCTCTTCCAAGATAGTACCGTCACAACGTGCCGGCGCTGAAGTCCCCCACCTCGGAACCCCCTCGTCCCCCACTCCGGCAGCTATGCAGTTTAAGGTTGCATGGTTGTGACCCCCAGTGGATATTCCGGGGGGGAATCTGGGGTAGTGTCGGTGCAACGCTATTCGGCCCAACCCCAGAGAGTCAAGTTAGACAATGGAAGGGAATTATTGAAAAGGACGGTGCAGAAGCGAGAGTTTGGAATCATACGAACATCAGACCATCTCACTCTGATGATTTAGGGGCGATTCTCCAAAGGTCGACGTGCACATTAGACACCAGTAACCAACTTGATCAAGAAAATCAACCCACTTTCACCCAATCAAGAAGGCAGAAGAGAATGTCGGGCTGGAAGTATGCGTTTGCCCTAAGCAAGGAGGAAGTCGCAAGGGCAACACCGCCTGGGACGGCAAGGTTGATAGGTGAGTTCCTCCACTATTGAACAGAGTCATTGTTGGAGCCGCGCTGGACCAGGCAATGCGTTATTGATACTCCACGACGCGATTCTTGTGGAACAATACTTGGACTATTTGCTGACAACTGATTATCTTCGCAGTTGAAGACGAGTCTTCCGGCGGGTCACCAAGATCTTCTAGCTCTCTCAGACGATTCCCACAACCATCAGAAGACCCAGCAGACCCTCTCAACTGGGCACAATGGCGCAAATTCGCACTACTGTTGACTGTCTCACTATACTCTTTTGCCGGCAACTTCACCAGCTCGGGCATCGCGCCGGCGTTGCAACTATGGTTCAAGGCTTTCCCGACAGACGTCAGGCCTTTTAGTGACCTCACATACTTTATCGCGGTGCGTCCATTCCTGTCTTCACACGCTGGTCTCGGGTTGGCGAACTCAGCTGATGATGGATCTGCTTCTTACAGGTCAATATTCTGTTTCTCGGAGCGTCCAATATTTGGTGGGTCCCTCTTTCGAACATTTTCGGTCGACGACCTGTGCTGCTGGCCGCAACGCTCCTCATGACAATCGGCACTATTGCGTGCGCTGTCTCAACAACCTACAACGGTGTTCTCGTCTCCAGATTGTTCCAAGGCATTGGAGCCGGTGCGTCAGAGTCTGTCGCCCCGGCACTCATCGGAGAGGTCTTTTTCGTTGACGAGCGAGGGCGTGCCATGGTAAGATAACCCCCAAACCTGTGCGATGAAATAGAAAAAGAGAAGTGTTCTTTTGCTGACGTACCAACTCTCTCACTCAGGCCATCTACACCGTCTTCCTCGCGGGCGGCTCTCTAATCGGCGGAATAGCGGGCGGGTATATCGGCTTCCAACTAGGCTGGTTCTATATCTTTTATGTCGGCATAGCCCTCTCTGCCGCCTGCTTCGTCACCACCCTCTTCTTCGTCCCCGAGACGCTCTATGACCGCGTCGTCTCTCCCAACGTCGACGCCGCAGGCCAGTCGCCCATTGACGAAAAGGGCATGGAAAGCCATGTCGAGGACGCGCAGAGCCAGGTGCTAGACTATCGTCCATTCACCTTCGGGCGGTCCCTGGGCTTCACCCACTATCGCGGCGGCGTCTTGAGCAACTTCCTCGCCCCCTGGAAGACTTTGAGACTCCCGGGCACCTGGGTAGTCATGTTTCACTACGCAGGCCTCGTCGGCGGCATCGTCACCATCTCCACGGTCGGGCCCCAGCTCGTGGCGGCACCGCCGTACCTCTGGGGCGCCAACGTCGGGCTGATCAACATTGGAGGCGTCATCGGAACCGGCTTGGGCGCTTTGTACACGTACCTCCTCGCCGACGCTCAGCTGAAGAAGAAGGTCAAGAGTTCGGGCAGCGGGCTGGCGGAAGCGGAGAGCAGGTTGCCGACCATGTTTCCCTCGCTCGTCATCGCCACGGGCGGGTTCTTCGTGTTTGGCTTCACGGGACAGTACCCGTCCAAGAATGGCTGGGTCGGTCTCTCTGCCGGATTTGCCATGGTGTCGTTTGGTCTTATGCAGCTGCCATCCGTCGGCTTCAACTACGTAAGTATAGGCATCCCCCACACGCGTGCTTTCGTGTCAAGCAATAAGATTTCTAACCTGAGAAACTATAGCTCATCGATGCGTATCAGCAACTTGCTGGCGATTGCTTCGTCATGGTCACGATCATGAGAGCAATTATCGCATTTGCGTGGACTTTCTTTGTCGCGCATTGGGTCGAGGAGAAGGGAACTTCGGAACCTTTTGGTGTATTTGGAATGCTGATGGGAATTTTCTCTCTTTTGACGATTCCTCTATGGCTGTTTGGGAAGAGGATGAGAATTGCCACCAGAAAGCTGGTCGAGGCATGATCAACATGCGTGTACTTTATGCGAGTGTTACCCTTGTGTGTTAAGCTTCTTCCAAAGATGCGATATGTTCGTATGGTATCACTCAGAATATGACACCCCTTTTTTGCTCTGTGTATGGCTCCGTTCCAAAGACTTGGCACTCGAAATTGTAGAATCATTTTAGCGTCCTGATTCGGACCTTCTGGGAAAGCACTGAATATCGAAGGACCAACTTCTTTGAGAAAGTTGGTATCATGCGGTAACAATACTTCTCTTGGACCGACGGATAGCGCGAGGGTGAGTTGAGAAGTTCAATTTTTAACACCGAGCCAAAGTAAGTACGTACACATTAACAGTGATGAATATCAGGATAGTGCAGAGGAGCGGAATAATTACTGCAAATTCCATCAAAAAGAGCGCCCACAAATATCAACTCAAGAAGTCAGTACAACAAGTAAATCAATCCCAACGCCAAGATGGGCACATTGGCAATCAAATGGCCTTTGACCTTAGCCCTGCCAACCTCGAGCGCCTCATCCGAAGCGCCAGGGCTCCCCATGTACTCAGACACGACCGCAGCGCCGCTGAAGCCTACGCCGGAACCCAGCATTAGCACGATCCCCAGACACCTCCGCACCGCCGTGGCCGCTAGCGGTGAAGCGCGGCAAACGTCGGAAAACTGGCCGTAGAGCACCAAGCCCAGGATGCACGACGACATGTGCAGATTGCGGGCGCCCTTGACCTTGATGAGCGCGTGGTGGAAGGCATCGAACTGGGCCGGGGTGACGGTGTCCCGCGGCGGGGGCACGATACCGAACGTCGCGGCCCCGCCTTCGGGCTTGGCGAGGTTGAGGACCCCGTCTGCGGCGCCGAGCAGGGCGAGCAGGCCCGTGAAGAGGGGTAGGGCGGCAGGTTTCCACCAGGATGTTGGGGATGCGTTTAAGCTAGCCATGATTTTGTGCGCAGGAAGTGACCTGATTTATTGAAAGCAATTGATGTGAGGGCGGCTGGAGGAGAATTGGGCGGCTTGAACAACTGCGTTGGACCGGTGGTGTTCAGGATCAGAATCAAGGGAGGATCAGCGTCAGCTCAAAATGCATCAGCGGTCAAGGAGAAGTGAAATAGCCGGATTGATTACCTCAGGCAACATCATTCGGATCACGTGGCGTCTTACATGGACATTGGCGTTAACTTCAAGCCACACTGGAGCGTTGAGTAAGGTACATTCGTATTTCACTTCAATCATCGTCCAACTCGCCAATGGAGGCTCACTCAAAGCGAGGTTACGGCAGTCGTTGCTGGGGTTCAAAGTGCCAATCGAAATCAAATCAATCACGTAGCAGGCCTTGCATTTGATCAAATGCCATATTGCTATCATTCCCTTGTCAATTCTGAGTTGCAGCCTATTACGTTTTACCGTTCCCCTCCAAGCACTGTATCAGATTTGTCTCCACGAGGGAATCAGCCCCCTCCCCAGTAACGAAAACACAAATAAAACACACCAAAAAGCCAACAAGCCAACAAGCAACAATAAACACTGCGCAAACCAGACCTAACCACCATGGAAGCTCTCAGAGCAATGCCCCATTCCATCACGGCCGATACAACACTACCAATGAAGGAAAACAAGGTATGTCCGTCGCCTCACTTCTTCTTTGGTGACGGCGAGCTCTCATGCGGCACTTCAGACGAAGCATGTCGTTTCGTTGGCGAAGAGAGCGATCGGCTGTGCCCGGCTGGTGGGATAGCCAAGGGCGGCAAGCTTGGTCGCGAGCGATCGCCTGCAGCGCCCTGCGAAGCTCCAGGTGGTGCTCCACCACGCCGGGTGTCGACAAAAGGATCGTCGCCGCCCATTTGCGAGCCAGTTGTGCCGGCAACGTTGGTAGCACGGCCCGAAGCGCCTGGGAGGATGAACGGCGGGGGCGCACTTCCAACCTCGGCACGCCTACCTGAGCCTCGACCGCTGGCCCCGCCATGCCCCGATGTAGCCTCCTTTTTCTTCCTGTTCCCAGCCCTGGTTCCGCTCGAGGTTCCTCCCTTTCCTTTCTTCGAACCAGTCCCACCAGTGTCAGATTTTCCAGAGGCCCTCTTTGACGACGCCGCGCCTCCCTGTGGGGTATCGAAGTTGATTGAAGGCCGCATTTTGCGCGATTGTTGATTTTGGGTGTACCACTGATCGTCGGCACCGGGTCCACTACCAGCGCTGCTCCGACCTGGAGCGCTCCGAGTTCCTCCGCTATCATCGGATCGGTTCGTCCAGTCTTCGTACACTTTCTCCTGAAAGACGTGGCGCAAGTGTTGAAGGACTTTGCCATAAACAGAGTGAAAGACCTCTTTTGGAATCCAAGGAGGAAGAGTAGTCGCCGACCAGTCCGAGTGAACCCCCTTGTACAGGAACTGTGTATTCTCCTCGCTCTGGACATACTCCACGAGGAAGTAGCAGACCGGACAGCATCGTTTGTTGACAGCTATAGAAGTCCCCAAAGATCGGAATCGCCTTGTCAAACTTGCCGCGGGTAATTGACGCGCTGCCATAGCATCGTCGCTTCCCGCCACGACATTGGTGTCCACCATGAGAGCCCGGTTTTTTTCAAGAAGGTGGAGGCTAAGGATTGTCGCTTCGCAGTGCCAGGTGCCTGAGAAAGTTCCTGCGTTTGGGAAGCTCGCGACCCAGGCATCCACAAGATGTGGTGGCAGCTTCACGCCTCGTTCAAGTTCAAACGTCTCCAGAAAACCCCGAAGATCGCTATTCTCCTTGTCCCGATACTTGGGGTAGGTTCTGACCGGTTGGAATTCAGTAGCCAGAAAACGATTAATGACGCATTGGTCGCTCTCCAAGAGAAACAGTAGGGAATCATAGTGCCGGCAAACAATGCCAAGATATTCTGCGGCTGCAACGTCCCAGCCGTGTTTCTTGCTAGCTCGATCGAGTGAGAGAAGCTCAGTGCTGAAGTTGTCGTCGATGGCCTCAGTACCGCCTGAGAGCTTGATTTCACTGAATCCCTTGCTGAGTCCAGGAGTCGGCGGTTCCTGGTGAGCTGTGCTTGATCCATGAACTGGCGTGGCAGGGGTGCCGCTTGCAAGTGCCTTTTTTGGCGATTCGAACAATGGCATCCCAGCGGCGGCTGTCCCAGGCTTTGCATAGATTGCCATACGGTGAATCCTAGGATCCGGCGAGTGGGAAGGAGGACGCGAGCTGAACCCTCGGTAAGGATCATGCGTTGCCGTGACGCCAGTCAGATACTGAAGCCATGCAAGGTGTGAATTTAAAAGCTGGGGAAATTCTCGTCGGATTCCAGCAAGACAGAAGTACGCCCGCTGTAAATCGTCGCTGATAGCTTTGCACTTCTTGATAGCATCCTCCCTAGAATCCTTGGGTTTCATGTTGATGGCGTTGACAAATGTTGGGGCTTCCTTGGACCGCTTGTGGTAGAACTCAAGCGCTAGAAGAATGCTTGTCAGGATCCGCTGCATCTCAGCGCGGCCCTTTTCGTCGTAAAATACGTAGTCGGGCCTCTCCTGAGCATTCAACGGGCTTGATGCCCATGAATGAAACAGCGGGAAATTGCGAGCGTGCTCCCGAGTAATATTATCGGGCTGCAATCTATCCCTCCCAACCTGATGCTGATGCCAGCCGTTCACCTCTTTATAGACAGCCTCCAGGACCGTGGCTTGCTTTCGTGTCTGGCCCTTACGGAACTTTAGCTCCAGCTTGGCTGTAGCCATCTCTCGGCCGCCTCTGAGGAAGGCAAACGGACGCGAACGAAAAGCCTCGTCATCGAGGATAGCCTGAGCTTCGAGTTCAGCGACTGTCAGTGATGTTGTCGAGGTTGAAGCAGTGGCACCGGTGGAGCTGAAATGATTGGGGTCATCCTTTTGCAGTTGAAGCTGTGCTAAGCGCGAAACCGGCGTTGACAGTATAGAAACGTAGTTTCTGTAGATGGTCCCATTCTCGAAGTGCTGACGAATCTTCGCCTGAGACGATATCTGGATAAAGTCTTTCAAGACTGCATGTTTCTTCGCTTTCTTGACACCGTCGTTTTCGGAAAAGAAGGCCTTTAGCATCTGGATGATGCGGAGACAGGATGCAATGAACTCTTGCCCGGTTTCAATTCGCTTGCTAGTCATTGCAGACCACTTGTCATAGAGATAAGCCACCGCACCATCGGGGTAGTCAAAGTCGAAGTCCTCGACCTCCATCCCGTCGAGGTCCACGAATAGCGCCGGTCCTTGAACTTTTTCGTCGTCCGGGACCTCGGCATGGTCATCGAAGCGGGGGTTCGCCGACAGGTAGACAACGTTCGACCTTTCACCGATAGCGATGGCTTTGGACTTGCCCTTTACTTCCGCCCTTGGGGGGAAGCTGGGAACAAGAGCGACAACCTCCCTGTCGCGGATGAAGATGCTAGCTAGGCAATCAAGAAACTCGTAATGCTTGCGAGTGAGTCGACGTTCTTCCAATGAGCCCTTGAGGGAGTCGGCAATCGTTTGGTGATTAGTGTTACGCAGGGTGGTTCCGTGGACGCTGTTGACTGCTTTGAATTGGCCGAGGAGCCAAGTTGCTGTTCGAAACGAAAGTATATCCGCGCGAGTGGGCACAGCTTCGCACTTGGCGAACTCAGTCGAAAGAGCCATGCTGGTAGCTGCAGCCTTGTCTCTGATTTGGACTCAAATACTTGATGTGTGCGTCTTGGTTATCGGGTTGTGGAGAGGCACTAGGAGAATGAAGGTAGTCTGAAGTCCGAATGCTGACCTAGACAGTCATGGGGCTCAGTCCAGTCTTTGACCGGACACGGCAGCGGCAGCCTGAGCCTGAACGGCTTACATTTGCTTTCAAACTGGTTTTGGAAGCCACGAATGCAGTCTTTCATGCCATGTTGCCTGCCAGAAAGAGCCATTTCTTTCTTTGAGTAGCGATGGTAGGAGCAAACGTAAGGGGCCATCATTGAAAACCTCGCAGAAAAGATATGACTCTAGAAACTACTTTTGACATGTCGCCAACCGCAAGGTTGTGAGTGCTGAGCACAAGATGAGTATCACACGTGGCACAAGAAGTAGCCACGACGCTCAACTTTCTCTCCACACAATGATACATTTAAATTTTCGTAGAGCTGTCAAGGTTTCATGATATAAGAATCGATGCTCGAATTGATACTATGTGGGTCTATTACTCTAGGCTACTGTTGATCGCCAAAAGACATTCCACTCGTTGAGTGTCCGGTTTCCCGTGCCCTCTCCCACAAACATCTCGTCAGTATCATTATCGCTGCCGCTTCGAAGTAGCCATCGTTTGTACATCCATGCATGGACTGCAAGCCTCTCGTTCCCTCGTCTATTGTTGGCCGAAAGCATGTCCGGTAGTTCATCTATGCCGCAAGCTTCTCTTTTTGCAGCAGCAACGGCCGCCTCGAGCTTCAACTTGGCCTCCCCACCTACCGCTACTCCGATGTGCTTTAGTGGCGAGACGGTGTCCGGTGATACGTGCGCACCCATGTCCAACAGCGCAGTCGCAATGCTAGCATAGCAAGTTGTTGATTTGTCTTCGATACATTGCAGCGGTGAGTAGCCAGCCGCATTCCTCGCGTTGGCATCCGCGCCATGTTTTCCGAGGAGTTGGATGAGCGGCACCGGGTCATTGTGACCGACTGGACTCGGACTTTCCATCACAAGATAATGCAACGGAGTGTTGCCGAGGGCATCTCTGACATCGTGCTTCACCAACTTGTTTTCCAAGAGAAATCGAGCGGTCTCCAAGTCCCAATTGCTGCATGCCTGATGTAGCGCATGGAGATCGATGCCGCGATGTGTAGTGAGTGATGCCCCAGCCCCAATGAGAAGCTTTGTGGCAGCCAAGCATGCCTCGTAACGATTGTCGGAGCATGGACTATCTTTCATTTCCATCAGAGCAAAGTAGAGCGCATTTGCTCCAGCTTCAACCTCATTCCTGAGCAGATGCTCTACATGGAGCGGGATGTCATACGACTCTTCGTCGAATTGCCGAAAGAAACCTGCAAGAGGGCGAGTCACGAATCTACGGTCGCCCCAAGAAGTTGCTATGCTGGTTTCAATGTTGACATCGGCGCCATGATCCAAAAGTAATTGCAATGCCGCAGAGTGTCGGCAATATGCAGACCAGTGCAGGGACGTCAGGCCGACTAACACTGGCATGCGAGTGACACAGTGGTATTCTCCGTCCTGGAGGTGGAACTCGGTGCAGTCCTCTGTATTTACATCGGCACCATAAAGCAAAGACTGTTGGATCCCAGGAAGATTTCTTGTCTTTGCCGACAAAAGTAAACAGGAAGAGTCATTTTGCTCGATGTCTTCTGTGTAGAGAATGGGCGTGATGATCTCGTTCAGTCTTTTGCTAGTCGATGCAAGGTGAGCGATGTCTCTCCAAATATCAAACCTATGGAACCTGACTTCTGTGACGTCGAAGTGTGGCTCCCAAATTTCCTCATCTTGATTGTATCCTGCGCGGACATCGTCGTCGTAGCGTTCAAAGACACTTGCGACAATTTGCAAGATGATTTCTCCCGGCAGTGTGGCCAGGGTGACGGGGAAGCAGCTCGGCTGGTTCTCTTTTGCGTCCTTCTTAGAGCTGAGATCGCTGCTTTCCTTCGGCGGAGGAAGCAGTCCGTAAGGACCCTTGAATGCAGTGCTGTTAGATGTGATCAGGCTGCTCGCTCGGGTCCGTAGGATTTCCGGACTGGATGGAGGTGTCGGTGAGAAATAAGAGGCCATGGCCTCAGCAGTTGATGGGTCTGGTGCGTTTGTAGCGTCCAAGGTGGCGTGAAAGCTGGAATCGTGCCCGGCGTCCTCGGACGCCTTGTCATCTGAGAGGGGTGCCATGTCAGAGAAAGGCAAACTGCACGTCGCGAATGCGCGCCAAGACTAGGTAGATTTATGAGGCGGTCTCATCAATTGAGAAATGGAAAGCGAGCTGCGAAGGAAGAGTGGTAGGTATGAATGAGTGAAGGATGTGCAGGGACTCAAGACATCTTAGGTAGATATCCGTATCCGCTAAGTGTTCGGAGAAAGGCTTGCGAGGTGACTCAGCACTTAGGAGGGTGCCCGTTTGCGCCACTGAATAAGGTTGACGCCGCTTGACCTTGATGACGCGAAATGATACTGTGCGCGTAAAATGATATTTTTCGAGTTGGTGCCGTCGGGTTGGACTCGATGAGGAGCAGTCGATTGCAGTGAGATGATGTTCACAAACGAGAGCCGATTTTTCTCTTCTGAGAGGTGAAGTTGAGGAGAGGGAAATGGGGGGGTCTTGGGCGACCGGGGTGGAGCCATGACAATCACGGGTGGCCGTGCACGGGGTGTGGGTCCCGCCGGAAGGCAGGCACCCCGGGACCCCGTTCTTTCCCTGATTCCATAGGAATTGGTCTGGACATAGAAGCACGTGACCATACACCGGAAAGATCATCACCCAACGGGCGTGATGTGATGCATCAATTCGCCTGGTAGCGTCGTGTTACCTAACGATACCTCCCGGTGTAGTGTATCATAGGAGGGTGCATACTGAGGTATCTACTGCCTTAGGTGAATAAGATCGCCAAGGCAAGAAGGTGCCTCAATTTCCGAAACTCTAATCGAGCCCGTCGACATTTGAATGGCAGGAGAAAATTTGGGTGGGCAGGTGTTGGAGGATACCTAAGCCTGAGGGTTGTGAATGTTTCTCTTACTTCCTATCCGGCGTCGAGATGCATAAGGATGACACAAAAACGATGCTGAGCTGTCTACACCTAAGTATGGGCTCAGTGGTAGAAGAAATGAAGTTGGAGAGCTGACCTAGGGTAGCTCAGGTTCAAGGAGCCTCTCAAAGTGCGCAAGGAGATATGCGTATCCCTGACGACCATCGAGAGGTTGAGGGAATTGCTCTCACAATGTTGGCCATACGCTCCTATGCCAGCGTTGAGGGCAAGAATCCTAGGATATTCACTCCCGGCACTAACTATCGGAAGCCTTTACTGCCCATGCAATCGTCACCATAATTACGGCATCCGCGGGCAACGCGGCTTCGCAATCGCTTTGGATAGGTCATGGTTGCGTGCCGGGAGACCAGCTTGTACATTGACCGCATAATCAAGCAAAACCTCCGTTAAGCGACGCACCGTTGAAATGGCAGCAACCAACAGACAAGACGCGGCGAAAATCTCTCCAAACGACACTGCCTTCTCGCATGCCCGTCACCTGGCACCATGTAGATGCAGGAACACAGCTCACGGTGCGATGTCGATAGGGAAGGACCGTCAACCTGGGCCACCGATGGTGCAACGTGGACGCCATCGAAGATAACTATACCGCTGTGCTGACTTCTCGAGATCTATGTGGACGACGACAGAAGCACCAAGATGGAACTAGACCTGGAATTGCTCAACACCGACTGTCGCACGACGAGGTCGACGATTAGATCACGCCAGGCGGCCATCTACTTCGGAACGAGGTCCCAGCCTCCGCACAAAGTTGAAGCCTGGTGTGGCTCGATTCCTCGCACCCTTAGCCCTGCGAGAGCTGCACCGATTATTTGTCCATCTACTCAAGAGTTTTGTGATTAATCCAAGACAATCTATCGACATGTGGGGGGCCGTAGAAAGATGGGTCGCGGGCGGAAGCAGCATATTTTCGGCTGGCGTCTAGTATCTACTTCTCCGACGCGCATAGCCCGACATGCCCCCGACGTCCAGGTTGTTATCCAGAGCCCTACAGTCGCGCTGAGTCCTGTTCTCACTCCCGCGCAAGGATGCAGGTGGTTGAGAAGCGTGAAATCGTGTAATGTGACGATGCACTCCAATCGGAGAAGATGCTGAGTTGATAAAGCGTTACGATCCGACGGCAGGGTCATGGCGTCGATCATGTGACGAAGAAGACTGAGTGACCTGGAAGAAGAAGAAATTTCCCTTGCCCCTCTTCTACATCATCTCCTTCTCGCGCGAGTTGTCAATGTATGTATCATACGTGGTGGGACAATGATAACAAGAAACAAGCGCATGTGTTTTGGGAACCATTCTGCATATGTATCGCAGCCTCAAAACCCCTAGCAGTGTACTCCGTTCCTGAGCTTCGGCTGAATCAGGATTGATCGGCCCCACGACGGCGCAGTAGGTAACGGCATGTCACGCCATGCGCGTTGTTATCTCGGCGGGCCGGACAAGGAAACGACAGAAACAGGCGCGACGGGAAGCAGGGGCGTGTGGGGCCTTGGTGGGCGTGTGCATGGCCCAGACGTTCTTCGAGAAGGAAGTTGGGACCTTGTTCGCTCATAACTCGGAGAGAAAGTAAAGCATTCGTGACGCATGCCAGGTTCTTACAGGGCGTGCAGGGCTGGAAGGTCTGGACCTGAACTGCGAAGCTAGGACGAATCCCGAGATTGAGGCTCCCACCGCCTGTTTATTGAGTAGTGCGAAAGTGGGTTCTGACTCGAGAGGCTCGTAAGACAGTTCGGATGGGGTGATCATGATGTTATCCTGGGAGTCGGACAAAACCGGTAGATGACGGTCAATGCCGGGCATCGAGCTGGCCAAGGCTTCTTGTTTTCGTTTTCGTCTCTTTGAGCTTGGAGGCGCAAGCGATTGCAACTTTCGTATCTGGGAAGAATGAGTCGATTATTGAACAATCTTAGACCTCAAATATAACAGTGTCGACAACTGGTTTATTCTGATTGAGAACAGGTACTGCTGACCTCCACTGTCTCTGCCGGGTGGATGTTGGCGAGGAAAGTGCCTGCAGAAGCGAGGGAAAAAGCGGTGCAGCAGGATCTCTCGCTTCAAGAACACGCTTGTTCAAATCGGGCGTGACGCATGGAGTACTCCTTAGTCATCCAGCCACACTTACCATCACGGCAGGAGCCACTCGGAAGGCTGCCCTGGTCGCTATTGTCCAACGGAAAGAGCCACTTCAGAGGCTCACCGACACTGACCGACACCGGGCAGGCGGTAACTGGCCGGACGGACATTACACCGGAAATAGTCAGGCCCGTAACGGCCCGGCATTCTCCACTCAATCGTGGGCCTTGAAGGTTGACAGGCCCAGTTCCCTGTCTCGAATCATCCAACTTTTTGGCTGACATGTCACCGCATCCACTTTGTTTTCGACGCTCCCGCGACCATCAACCTTGCATCATCAGCCACTTCGCGCCGATGATTTGCACCAAAAGCACGACCATCACATCAGTATCAATCGCGCCACAAAGACCCTAATCTGTAGACACACCCTCGTCATTGCGTCCCCTATCCACGGACAGGATCTTCGTTCCTGGCAGAGTCCTCGTCAATTGGTTACTGATCCTTGAGGATACACTTTTTGCCCTGCTTTCGGCATCTCCACCTTATCGGCCTGTCTCTTCAAGATTCCTTCACCTCGAATCCGGCCACTCTCTCTAGCCACCCCTCGTAATCTGAGCATACACCCCCCTTTTCGACATTGCTTCGGACTCATCAACAGTTACTTAAATATGACCTGCCTCGACATGTCCTCGGGGCATTATTCCGGTCCTTCCTAAACGGCACGAGCCTAAGCTTCACATATTTAGCAACTACACTACTACAAACATCTTACATCTTTGCCATCAAACTACGACGACCAACATGTCTGGTCTAACTCTAACGTCACCAATCGACTCATTACCCAATGAGGTAAGCACCTGCCGTTGCCCATCACAGCAGAGCGCCAACGCTCTTATGCTACACTCCCGCTAACTACCTTTGCCCTGAATAGCTTCTCATTGCGATCCTATCCACCTTTGAATCTCGCGAGCTGCTGCCATTAACGACTGTCGACCGCCGCTTCAATGGTACCGCCACCACAATACTGCAACACCGCCTCCTTCATACCGCGAAGATGGAAGGACACGAGGTGATGCTGGAGAGCTACCACCCAAGTGCCAGGAACTCAACACCGTCAATGACGTGTAGATTTGCAGGCGTTGACTTCCTGGGATACCAGTGGACCGGCGAGGAAGATATGGACTTGCGTGATCTCTCCCACCTTTACTCCCACTTCCGCCCGGTCGTCTCCGAAGAGACGCGACGCATGCGGAGAGTGTTTGGTCGACGGATGCCGGGCGTCCCACTCGAGCAAGAAATCGGCGACCAGCCAGTTGTCCAAGAACTCATCCTGGATGACGGAGAGCTCTTCTCTCAACTTTGCACAACAACTAGCTTGGTCAAGTCAGGTCCGAACCCTGGTCTTCTCGCTAGCCACAGCAATATTGAGAATGGCGTGGTACGCGTCTGGAGACACTGGCTAGCAAAGGCGGCCGCCAGGACAGCCATTTGCCCAGCAGGGCAAGGACCAATCGACGAGAGCACCATCTTGTGGGCCGACGCTACGAAGAATGTCGGATTGCGATTCAGCGTTACCGATATCACCAAGGAGCGTCTACCTGTCTACCGCGGATTGGACGAGGATGCTCCTGTCGCCTACTCTCTGCACTACCAAGGTAAGATCACCATGTCCAGACCCATGTGGCAGGCAAGCGGCAAGCGACTAACTATGACACTAGAGTTACTGGTTCGCACAAGCCAAGTACTGCTGGCGATGGAGAAATCAGCAGTCCAAGAAGTTGTCGACTCAGGTAAATCAGCCATCATAGCTTCATGAAAGTTTCTTCCGTCCGGCCAAGACCGGGCCGGTTAAACACAACACCCACGACTACCCCAGGGCGCGCAGTGTCGACGAGCTCAACTCGCAACATCAACATCGAAAAGTTTCGAGAAGTGCAAGCAAGTGGGCCAAGTCCTCGCAGATCGGTATTGGCTCGGTCAACGTTGTCGCCGCCTATTCTTCCTAGGATGGAACGCCTCCCAGAACTTGGCTACTCAGTAGCGGCCACCTTGGTGAAG